TCCACCGAAAAAATGACTGGTTCGTAACTGGTGCTGGTTCAAAGTTGGTTCGGAGTTGGTTCAACTTGCGAACCTGTTTGTTTTTCCACAGGGAACGATGTCGTTACGTCACAGTGCACGTCGCTAGAAACGCTTGCAAGTACATTGCTTTGGGATTATCTCTAACTCGTGTACCAAGAAAACTTTAAAAACAATTGAAATATGGAAGTCTTTTAATCTTTTCGTTTGGTATGTCATCTTTTCTGATAAGTTATGTTCCCCTGTCTTGTGTCTTTTTTCTTTTCATTTATTTGTTCTATATCGTGACTGTTTTCTTCTTTGCTAATGTTTCAAATAAATAAATAATAAAAACGCTTGCGTGTTTCTGCAGTTTCTCCCGGCTTTGCGATGGTCAGAAAAGATGTTTCGAGCACATCTAAACCCGCCCAGACCCCGACGTAAACATGACGTGCTAAAAGAACGGTTCTAGTCCAGCAAAGAGTTGGTGCCGCTTTGGAACCAGTTTTTCCCGGCCGAGAACCGGTTCTTTGGCTGTCCAAACACAAACAACTGGTTCGAGCGCAGGCACCGGATCCGAACCGGCTCTCAAAATGCTTTGGTGGAAAAGGGGCTATAGCGAGTAAATGTCTAAAGTGGACTATCCAAATAAAGTGTAACTCTTTGTTCTTTGGCCGTTTTCAGTTTTCTGCACGATTGATTGAGGCGCTCATTATCTTGTGATAGTGATTGATATTTCAGGGCTGGTTCTGAGGAGTGTGTGTGTGGGTCTGGGGGGAGTGTGTGTTGTGGAATCGGATCTTGCGGCCCCTCGCTTCCCTCGGACGGCCCATTTTTCAGCAGGGCTCGAGCGGCCTCACGCTGGGCGTTTGATGGAGCTCGTAGCGAGTGTGTGTGAGTGTGTGTGAGCGGGCCTGACCTACTCACAGCTCCGATCGCATGTAATCACAGCAAACGAGCGTTGACAGCGTTAACACATCACTGCCGCCCCACTGAACTCCCAGCAGCCTCTCTGCCGGCCCGGCTGCACTTTCTTTTTGTTTTCAGCTCATCCACAAACATCCATTCACACACACACACACACACACTTTCACTCACTCATTCATTCACTCTCTCTCTCTCACACACACACACACACACACACACACACACTCTCACTCACTCATTCATTCTCTCTCTCTCTCTCTCTCTCTCTCTCTCTCTCTTTCACACACACACACACTCTTACATTGTCTGCGGAGAAGTGACAGTGCAGGAATAACAGTAATACAATATATTTACACAGTACATTTTTGTGTGTTTTGTGCTTAATTAATAGTCGATATTCTGATCATATTTTTTTTCCAAACCACATAAATCTAAATAACTCCTATTCATTTTGGATGTAATTATTTATAAGTGACGGGTAACATGTTAGTTTAGAGCCCAATTCACACTATTATTAAGTTGCTTATTAGCATGAATATTACTATTATATTGGCTGTTTATTAGTACTTATAAAGCACTTATTAATGCCTTATTCTACATGGCAATATTCTACGTCCCTTTATCACACTATACATAAACTTAACAACTACTTGAGGTAAAAGTCAAATAGTTAGTTAGTTAACAGTGAGAATTAGACCCTAAACTAAAGTGTGACGCTGATATATAATTGTTAACGAGGACTGGAAGTGAAAACACAGACGACTGCCTCGTTAACAATTGTATATCACTTATAAATGGTTGTATACCTCATTAAAGGAGTAGTTCACTTTTAAAAAAAAAACTTCTGATGATAATTTACTCGCCCCCATGTCATCCAAGATGTCCACGTCTTTCTTTCTTCAGTGGAAAACAAATGAAGGTTTTTGATGAAAACATTCCAGGATTTTCTCCATATAATGGACTTCAATGGGGTCCAAACGGTTCAAGGTCCTAAAGACAGTTTCAGTACAAACTACAAACTGTTCAAAGGGCTTTAAACGATTCCAGACAATGAATAAGGGTCTTATCAAGCGAAACGATCGCTCATTTAATAAATAAATAACAAAGATTAAGTTTTATAAGCACAAATGCTCGCTTTGCTCTGTTCTGTGATGAGCGTTCGTGACTCTCCTGTTCAAACTTGTTCATCAAAATGAATGAATCTTTTTTCGTGTCATTTGGTTCATGACATTTGGTTTTGTGTCATTTGGTTTCACTTGATAAGACCCTTATTCATCGTCTGGTGTCGTTTAAAGCCCTTTGAACAGTTTGCACTGAAACTGTCTTTTGGACCTTGAACCGTTTGGTTCCCATTGAAGTCCATTATATGGAGAAAATCCTGGAACGTTTTCATCAAAAACCTTCATTTCTTTTCAACTGAAGAAAGAAGGACATGGACATCTTGGATGACATGGGGGTGAGTAAATTATCAGCAAAAGCTTTTTTTAAAAGTGAACTACTCCTTTAATAGTAGTTATTAAAATTGATGTGATTTGGAATTGGTCAAATGTGCTTGGAAAAATCTTTTTCGGAATATTTTCGTCAATTTCGCGTTTATCGCCCGTTTATTCCAAAAAGGAATATTTCGCAAAACTGCAATGGAAACAGTTTTTGTGCATTTACAGTCGCCTGACGTAGATGACGCGGTGTGTTTGGACAGACTACGAGACAGAGTTCTTTAATAAAGTCATAAAAGGAAAATTAATTACAGTAATACTGGACTCAAAACTCAAAGAAACGCCACAATCACGAGCAAATGAAGAGAAACACAGAGAAACTCCTCATATGAGCCGCTCACAGAATACGGGTCTTTCCTTGCCATTAATGCTGGATAACACACACACACACATGTCTCCTTCCATTATTAATAATAATAATGTCTAGTGTAATGGCGCTGATATATATAAACCAATTTCCGTTTCCACGATTTTTAAAATGACTGATCACGAGAAATAGTTTTTAATCGATATTTAGGAAAAAAATCACAAAAGTTTTGTGCAAATCTGTAATGGAAAGGCCGTGGCCAGTGAGTGTAGGTTTGGCTGAGATGCGGGCGAGAGGAGGCGTGCCGCGGCCCGAGGTGAGAGTCCCACATCATCACCTGACGGATCAATGGCTTTTCTCATGCACTGCTGTGTTTCCCCTGATGCTTTGTGTTCTTTATCCCACACATAATGAGCCGTCAATCAAGCACTCGCACCCTAAAGGGGAAGTGAGGAGATGCTTAACCAGCCCTTAGTTTTACAGCGCTGTGAGTGAGGAGACACTCGCTTTCATGTTTTACAGGTCAAACTACCTTTCCCATGAAGTGTTGATAACTAGAGATGTTTAAACGAGTAGTCCACTTCAGAATAGGCTTACTTCGCTTCGCTTCCGGTCCAGGTCTTTTGTATGTGCTTCATGAAATGTTTTGCGGTTTTACTCAAGATAACTTAAAAGGAGCAAGCAAAGATTAGCATAACCAATGTCCCTCACATGTGCAGATTGATATTTAAACGTTTTATATTTTTTCTTCTTCACAGTAACGTTTAGATATTTAAATGGAATAAAACGCCAATAACAAAGTGAACTAGGTAGGTTAGCTGATTACCTTAAAAATCCATAGATATCGTAGTCAGATCTTACGGCCGTTAACACTTTCTCTGACAAGCGGATGCGATGAGACCTGTTTTCCGGTTTGGTCACGTGACGCTCCGCATAAAGCCTATTAATATTTCCTGATAGTTTACTATCCCGCACGTCACCCGAGATGTTTATGTGTTTCTTTCTTCAGTGGGAAAGAAATGAAGGTTTTTGAGGAACACACTCCAGGATTTTCCAGATGTGAGTTTCAGAGCAGCTCGACACGATCCAGCCGAGGAATAAGAGTCTGATCTAGACAAACCAGCGACATTTACAACATTTATATACTTTAACCACTAATGCTGGTCTTGTACAAGCTGTGATGTGACACACACCACGTCAACAGGGTGAAAGGTCAAGCATGATGTAGGTGTAAGAACCGGCCCAGTGTTCATAAAGCGAACATGCAAAGACTAAGACGAACAAGATTAAAAAAATATATATATATGAAGAGTTCAGATGCAAAAGCCTCTAAGTGCCATATGAAATTTTCTTCTAAAATGACCATTTTTATCTAGCTTGTATATTTAAGTTCAATAATTTCACTTAAATGGCAATGATAATTACCTATTAATTGTCATTTAAGTGAAATTGCTGAACTTAAATATACAAGCTAGATAAAAATGGTCATTTTAGAAGAAAATTTCAAATGGCGTTTAGAGGCTTTTGCATCTGACTTTTCATATATATAAAACAATGATGTCGGACGATCTTGAAGTTGGAGGAGAAAATGAGAGTTTTTCGCCCTATCCTACATTTTCCGTGTGACCCTGATGGCGTAATGTGTGTCGTGCAAGACCAGCATTAGTGGTTAAAGTATATAAATGTTGTAAATGTCGCTGGTTTGTCTAGATCAGACTCTTATTCCTCGGCTGGATCGTGTCGAGCTGCTCTGAAACTCACATCTGGAAAATCCTGGAGTGTGTTCCTCAAAAACCTTCATTTCTTTCCCACTGAAGAAAGAAACACATGAGCATCTCGGGTGGCGTGCGGGAGAGTAAACTATCAGGAAATATTCATTGTGAAGTGGACTACTCGTTTAATTCAATCATCACTACTGGAGCTCATAATGAGGTGAAGTATTAGGTGTCAGTTTCCAAACAAATGCACAATAAAAAATACAAAATGCTGCTTTTCCATTTAGTTATTCAGATACCTTTCGTACATTTCTGAGTACCTTTTATATGTCTGGAGAAGCGTCTAACAGTTTTCGCATTAACACCTCATGATTAATGTGGTTTTGCACAGGCGAATAAGTGAGTTCCAGCTAATAAACTGTTGCAGGAGTTCATGCGCTGTGGTCACGTGACCCGCCGAGCGCTCCGGGCTGTTTCTGGGGTTCGTCGGCCCTCCCTCTCTGCTGTGTGTGTGTGTGAGGAGGGTCGAGATCAACTGCTTTTATTGTCTCTCCACAGTGAAGGGGCCGTCCCAAACGCAGTGAGAGAGTAACACCCTCTCTCTCTCTCTCTCATCGCAGGCCGACCGTCAGTGTGGAGTAACTGTGGAGGCAGGAGTGTGTGAGAGTGTGTGTTTCCATGCCCTGGTCGCACGGGCTGGGATGGAGCGACAGGTTGGGACTGGGAGACGCTGGACGCCACTGCTGGTTCTGCTGGGAATGATGCACTCGTACGGTCAGGGTGAGTCTCAGTGTTTTCTGTTGTTCACCTTCAGTCTGGGACACACACACACCTCTCCAGGTCGGCATGGGCCATGTTTAGATATTTGTGACCCTGGACCACAAAACCAGTCACGAGTGTGTCTGTCATGGTGTATTTTTCTTTTATGCTACAAATCATTAGGATTTTAAGTAGAGATCATGTTCAATGAAGATATTTAGTAATTTCCTACTGTAAATATATGCAACATATATTTGTGTGAGTGAATGCAACACAATCGTGAACATAAAGGCGATTTTCTCAATTTTTTCTCCAGATGTTCAGTAGTTGTATCTCTGACAGATATTGTCATATCCTAACACACCATACATCAGTGGAAAGCTTATTTATTCACATTTAAGATGTGTAATTGAGGGTCACGTTTATGGGAATTCTCATTGGCCATCAGAAATTTATGATTTTTCCCTCAAGAAGTGTTGAAGTGTGTGTTGTGTTGTGCCGGATATTAAAGCGAGTCGTCTCTTAACCAGTCCTCGGACAGCTGATGGGTTCGAGGACCAGTGGGTTTTTACAAATCAACAACTGACTTTTTGTTTTGACTGTGGTTTGTTTGTTGTTTATTAATATTGTGTTTATCTATGCTTTTTGTCACTGTTTAACCCTGAAACCGTATTCTGGACAAATGTGGGCAAAATAGTTTTGATTTATTTGTAAAAAATACAAGACTTGGCTACTTTTCCTAAGTTTGCTTCCTGAACACACATAATTTATTTACTCAATTCTACAATGTTAAGTGGGTGGGAAAAAAAACTCGTTAATCTTGTATTTTTGGTCATAAATGGGCACCCATAGAAATGAATGGGAAAAAGTGTCATTTAGAGCATTCTAAAATAAGCCAAAATAAGACACCAGGAGACAGCAAAGTCACTTCATCTTTAGGTTTTAGCTCTAAGAACTTATTGGAATGATGTTTTAATGTAGTTAAAAAAATAAAACATAAAAATAAGCATAATTTACATAGAAAATAGGGTACTTTTTGAAGTAAATAAATAAAAAAAATACCCCAAAATAAAAAATAAACACCATAAGTGGATAGACAAAACTTTATCGAAGACAGTGATATAACTTTTATAATAAATAAAGTGAATACGGTTTGAGGGCTACACTCTTATTTGTGTTTATAATCAAATATAAAATAAATATATAGAAATATAATCAAATGGGATAATGCAGTGCCAAATATTACATTCTGTTTCAAACATATATGGCTCGTCACATGGAGTTAAATTATTCAGACACCAGATATCATTTGTGATATTTTTTCACTAGTGTGATCAGGACAATATAGTTCAAGTAAACTGTGACATATTATAGCCAAATATTCTTCATACAGTGACTAACAGTGATAATGTGGGACCAAATATGATTCCTCCACTTTGAGCTGATGATGTTTTGCTGAAGTGTGTTTTCTGCTCTTTTTCCACACACACTGAACAACATGAAGCATTGCTTGGTCACTGGTTGAGCTAAACTGGTATTATCTAATTGTGGAGTTCAATTGAACAGATATTCAACATAATTCATGTGTGAGAGTCCAACAGAACCAGTCGAATATCCACTGAGTTCTGCTCATGTTTATCACCATTATCTAAACTATAGCGGATACACTGATAATGTGAGAAATGTTGAAGGTGTGTGTGTTTCAGGAATCTGGAAAGTGTGTTAAATGCTCCTGCGGCGACAGATGTAAAGATACAAAAGTAGTGTGTCGATTAATAGGAGTAATTATGAATATTAATTATGAAAAAATCAAAAAAATTGAGTTTGTAATTCATGTCAGGACTCTTATCAAATTGTGAGCGATTCATTTGAAGAAGACATTTCTTTCTGTATGAGGTTTTGTTAAAATGTAAAAATGACTTTCATGTGTCGTTGATGCCAAACATGTCATGATAGTTTCAGTTTCAAAGTCTGTCCATGAATATGATGAATAATCATGAATCATAATGATAAAAAGAGGAATAAAAATGCTGTTTGAAATAGTTTTAGGAAGTTTGCCACACAACAGCACATCAACGTCATGTTGAATATTTAATGTGATTTAATGATTCATAAACTTTTATTCATTTGTAAAATTGACTTTCAGAGTCTATTTCATCTCATATTTAAAATACGCATGGCTACACAAAAGATTTTTGTTAAAATGTTTTTTGGTTATTGAAAAGTTGTGTTGACTTTAATAGAGCATTAATATGATATGAAACAGTTGTGAATCATAATTAGAAGACAATCGAATGTACATGTGGAATATGTTAGGCTGATGATCGAGCGCTTCATTGTGCTTTAGTGTGTATGATGGAGCAGCAGAGCTTGACGTGTGTGTGTGTGCGTGTGAGTGATGAGCTTGACGTGTGTGTGTGATGAGTTTGACGTGTGTGTGTCGCTGCTTCTGGGTTCTTGCTCGGTGGTGAGGCATTTCGCGAAGTCTGAGACGTGGAGAAGCCCACACACACACACACACTCACACACAGGCACAAACTTACACACTCACACAAATACAGATGAACAAACACTGACACACACATACTAACACACACACTCACCCTCACCTAAAATAATTGAAACCCGTGTGTGTCGGAAATATCCCGCAGCTGGTGTGTGTTCTCCAGGATTTACAGCTTCAGCTGCTGCCCGACACACACACACACACACACACACTCGCAGGGAACTTGCAAGCTTCATGCGTGTCGTTGTTGTGTGTTTGTATTGATTCTGGTTTTGTTACGTTTATATTAATAATTTAACTTATCCAAAGCAACAAAAGCAGTGTGTAACCGAGGCAACAATATTCATAATATTAACATGAACTCATCATAAACCCTGTTTATTTTCATACACACTCCAGGTTTATTGTGGATGATTCATATTCACGAGACAACTTTATCTTTCTTTCAATCTTTAATCGTCGTCAGTTTTATTTTTAGAGCTGCTAATTTACATCATAATTAGCATATTTTGATTGCGCTGTGCTTTTGTACATTCATTGTAACTTTAGAAATATCTTTACTGTCACTTTAATTCGTCCTTGATGAATGAAAGTATTGTTTATCTTACTTCAAACCTTTGTATTGACCGTTTCCACATTAATCTAGAAATAAATATCAACAGCAATAATGTTCTTTATCTCTTTTTAAATAAGAAATAAATACATAAAATTAATAGAAATAGACATTTTTAATTGCTCTTAACTATTTGTATCTACCTTAATGAAATAAGTCATTTTTTTTTAAATATTCCATCCAAATCACATTTTTCCAGAAAAGTATGAAGCAGCATAACTGTTTTTAACATAAATAATAATCATAAATGTTTATCAGATCCTCATATTAGAGTGATTTCTGAAGGATCATGTGACACTGAAGACTGGAGTAATGATGCTGAACATTCACAGGAATATATTACACTTTACTGTATATTCACATAGAAAAGACATTAGAATAATATTTCACAATTTGTACCGTATTTCTTCAAATAAACGCAGCAGAGGAGACTTCATTCAAATACATAAACAAAGCTTAATTATTCCAAACTACTGTATAAAAGTACGTTTCAAATGCCTTTGCATGATTGAATTTTAGAAATATGTCACATATCACTCGAAAAATTAGAATATGGAGCAAAAGAGTTCATTTATTTCAGTAATTCAACTTAAAATCTGAAACTAATGTGTTATATAGACTCATTACATGCAAAGTGAGATATTTCAAGCCTTTATTTGTTATAATTGTGATGATTATGGATTACAGATATGAAAACCCCAAATTCAAAATTAGAATATTGTGAAAAGGTTTTCATATCCGTAAGCCATAATCATCACAATAATAACAAATAAAGGCTTGGAATATCTCACTTTGCATGTAATGAGTCTATATAATATATTAGTTTCACCTTTTCAGTTGAATTACTGAAATAAATGAACTTTTGCGTCATGTTTCACCCCTACGTGCATTCGTTTTCCCCAGACCTGATTCAGCCGCTGTTGTGTGTGTGTGTCTCGTCTGCGCTCATGCATTCCTGAGCCGTTCTAATACGTGGAAGTGTCCAACACGTCGGTGTTTTACAGTAATCGTGTGTTTAAAGTGTTTCATGCCCGGCAGACTGATAAGAGGCAGAACTGGTGCCTTCAGTGTTTTATGGCAAGGTCAGCGCGGAGATAACACACACACCAACTCACACACATCTGCGCTTATGAAGGACCTTCCTCTCATCTCCTCTTCCTTGAGGAGGGTTATTAGACTGACATCTGAAAAATTAAACTCATCTCTTAAAGGCGCAGTGCGCACAAAAATGTCAATTCTGACATCATTTGCTCACCTCAAGTTGGTGCAAACCTGTGTGAGTTTCTTTCTCATGTTTGGAAACCTAACGGTTGTTGTTCCCCGTTAAAAAGAACAATGGAAGTCTATGGGGTCCAACTTTTGTTTAATAACACATGTTCCGACCCCATTGTTTTTAGCATAAACTCTTTTAATATTTGATAAATTGGTAACACTTTACTAACAATGAGCAATACATTTGTTACTGTATTCGTTAATCTTAATGTTAAATAATAAATATACAGCTGTTCATGTTAGTTCACAGTGCATTAACTAATGTTCACTATTAACACAACCTTTGATTTGAATAATGTAGTAAATGTTGAAATTAATATGAACTGAGATTAATAATGCGGAAGTAGTGTTGTTCATGTTATCTGAGTGAACTAATGTAAACTATTGAACCTTTACGAAAGCACCGTGATTCGGCTTCTCAGGTGAAGTGATCGTGATGTGTGTGTGTGTGTGTGTGTGTGTGGACTGGAGCAGGTGCTGCTGGTCTCTGTGAAGCGCTCTGCGTTCTGGCTCTCTCAATAAGATGAAGTCATGAGTCAAGGACAGACTAGAGTGGGAGAGAAGTGTGTGTGTGTGTGTGTGTGTAGACGCAGCAGACCTTCACGGTTCCTCCCGCACAAGGAGTTCCTC